CGGCTTCCTCTGCTGGGGGAGCGGGTGCCTTTGTCTAGAAGGGGGGTCTGCATTAGTACCTCCGAGTCCACTGCATGGGTCCTTGCAACATTATACAAAGGCAGGCTAGTTTGCACCCTGATGACATGATTTATTACAGTCAGGAAAACCGTTGCTTCTTATTTGAATAGCTTATGAAAGTGGAAATTATTCTTCAGCTAATATCATGAACACATCTTATTTCCTTGTTATCCTATTTTTAAGACTCTGTACTCAGAATTTCCTTTCAAAGCTGGCTACGCTGTAAGTTAAGATCTGCCCAAAATAATGATGCTTTCTCTGGCAGGGACAGTTGCTTTTGTATCTGCAGGATCCAAATCCTCCATCACTAGTGGGCTCTGCTGAAACTGAACATTAGAGAACAAAACTAAGTGGCAATTTATAATATACTTTTAATAGCATATAGTAAACACTTTCCTGCACTCCTACTGTTTGAAAGAGGCAGGGTAGCAAAGATTTTAAGAGTGTTCACAGGTACAAATTTTAGTTATATAAGGTGAGGATATTCTAGAAATCTGTTGTACAACTTTGTACCTATAATTAACAATATTATATGACACACTCAACAGTTTGTTAAAAGGGTAGATCTTGTGTTACATGTTCTTATAATAAAAAAATGCAATGTAATGCAATGCAATACAACACAACACAACACAGCACAACACGTGTGCACTGTGAAGCCAGACTGCTCACCTTTACATCCTGGCTCCACTCCCTTTATGCTTTGGACTTCGGAGAGGTTGCTATGCCTTTTTAAAGCTCACTTTGCTTCTCTATAAAATGGGCTGATTGTAACATCTCCTAGGATTGTGATCATTGAGAGAGTCGGAGGCGGAAGAACATGGTTATAAGAAGGATGGGCCCAGTGCCCCACTTCATAGGCTTGCATCGGCACTAACTTAATTTAACTCCTCTTCCTGTTTCCTTATTTACAAAAGAGAGCTGGTAATAATAACACATTCCTAGGGTGTCACTAATTTGATTTAACCGCTTTGCCTGTTTTCTTATTTACAAAAGATTGTGATTATAACAAATTCCTAGGATGTTTTTAAAAGGATTAAGCAAGTTAACAAGAAAAAAGCTCAGTAGGGTGCCAAGCATATAGCAAGTGCTTAATAAATGTGAGCTCTGATGATTAGATGTTGAAGGGGTGTGCAGAGTTGGAACTGAATTTGGTGAAAAGTAAGAACCAGGCCCTGCTCTAAGTGCCCTTTGAGTCTAGTGAATGAAAAGGGCCAGGGCAAAAGTAACGACACATGTAGACTTCATGCTTCCTCATTTGGTTGGTTATATTCTAGGCAGCTTTATAATTGACCTAATTGCAAAATCAGGTGGCTGAGCAGCACCATTTATAATAATTTCCTTTAACTCTGGGTCCAAGTGTCTGAAGCTACTTAGAGCTAAGGCTTTGAAAAATGGACATGCTTCCTCTCTCCTGCCCTACCTGCCCCCTCCCCCCGTTCCCCTTCCTAGACCCAGTCATCTACGGCTCCCAACGGTGGGTAGAGAAGCGGTTACCAGAGTTCACTTCCCCATTTTAGCAATGTCCACGGGTGCAGAGAGAGCCCCCGCCTGTCCCGGTTCTGCTGGCACGGGGAAGTGAGCCTTTCTCATCACTTCCCTGCAGAGCAGGGTTACTGGAGCCAAAGAATTCTTCCTCAAAAAGTAAGCAAAGATCGGAGAAAGGCTCCGCTCCTAAGCGGCTGTGATGAAGTATAAGCCTTGCTTCTCAGGCTTTGGAAGGTGTTAAACAGCCAGAGGGAACTTGGAAGTCCCTCGGCTGAGTCGCCATCGTCTGCCCTTGCCACTCTCGGGAGCGACTCCGAGTCGCGGCGAGGACAGTGGAGAACCGCAGAACGCAGAGGCCGCGCAGTCAGGCTGCCGTCGCCCTGCCCGGCCCCGTGTCAGGCAAGTCCCTCGCCGGCCTGCACTGCAGGTTTTTTACCCGTGAAATAATGATAATGTTAGCTATCATTATTTGAGTGCTTATTATGTTCCAAGCACAATATTTGAGGGAAGTACTATTCTTCCCTTTCCACAAATGACAAACGAGCAATTCAGAGATTTTAAAAAACTTAACTCAGGGTAAGAGTCAGTATTTACATTCAGGTCTGCCTCCAAAGCCTAAGCTCCGAGGAGCTAGAACCCCTCCCTAAGCCTGGAATGTAGCAGGAACGCAATAAAGTACAGCGATTATTAACATTCAAAATAACATGGACCATTATTAGCATCTGTACCTAAGATTTTAAGATTTAAAAAAAAAACTAGATGTAGGACCAATTATTTTTTTCACACTGTTACATACAAACACCACCTTAAAGTTTATTGAGGAAAATATTTGCCTCTTAGAATTATGGCTTTACCAGAGTTTAGCTCCATAAAGAAAAGAAATTCCATTTATGCATGCTGTGTATATAACATAATAAAGGCAAAAGAACATGGTACTAGAAATTCAAAATGGAAAAAGGAACCCTTGTACACTGTTGGGGGGACTGTACATTGATGCAGCCAGAATGGAAAACATTGTGAAGGGCACTCAAAGAATTAAAAATAGAGCTGTTATATGTCTCAACAATTCTACTTCTGGGTATTTATCTCAGGAAAACACTAATTTGAAAAGATATATGTACCTCTATGTTTATTGAAGCATTATTTACAATTGCGAAGATATGGAAATAACCAAGGTGTCCATTGATGGATGAATAAAGAAGATGTGGTATGTATACTCACACATACACACACACATACACATGATAGCATAGTATTCAGTCATGAAAAATGAATGGAATCTTGTCATTTTCTACCACATGGATGGAACTAAAGAGTATTATGCTAAGTGAAATAAGTCACACAAAGACAAACACTGTATGATATTACTTATCTGTGGAACCTAAAAAATGAATCAATTAAGTAAAATAAAAATTGACAAAGATATAGAGAACAAGCTGATGGTTGTCAGAGGGGAGTGAGGGGTGGGAGGATGGATTAAAAAAAAGAGACTAGGAAAAAAATTAATAAGCACTTTATAACTTTTGAAATTTTGTTATCATCTCTTTCCATCTTGTGTCAACTACCTTATCTTTTATCCTAGTATGAAAAAGCAGTCTCAAGTATAATAACGCTGTGTTTGACTTGCACTGGTGTTCCTCCCTTTAATGCCTCCAGTCCAAACTTCCACTAAGTAGCTACACAGCTTTTGGCAAGACACTGCTCTTCTCTTGGTCTGGAGTTCCTTACCTATAAAATGCGGGTGGGCTGTTGATCATTCGATTTCTAAGACTTCTCTAATAACTTGGCATCTTATAACCATTAACCATGGCTTCAGGATGGCCTGGCTCAGGATGAAACTCACCTGTTCATGGGCTCATTGCTTATAATTGTGCTAATTTTACCCAGTAGTCTTTCCATATGGCTATGCACTTGATTACCCTGATAAGATTTCGTATAACATAATATTTTCTCAAATTTTGGTCTTCTGCTTTCATTCAGGGGATTTCTCTGGAATTTTCAGTCCTGGGATAAAAAGGCAGAGCCCTCAAGATATCTTCGTTGTCTTCACATATATAGATGTTTGTAGGGTACTTCTTCCATTACAACATCAACACTACCATTGCATATCGAAATACAATTAAGTTAAAGAAAAGAAAGAAATACAACAAAGTTGCAGCCTGATTGCCATCTGTATAACTACCAGTGACAGACTGGGATAGTCTAAGCAGCACAAGCTATGCTGAGTGGAGGGGGCTGGACACTTGTTTGTCAGAGGAGTTGAAAGATTCGCTCCGCAGGAAGCTGATTCTCCTCTGGAGAGTTGGGCCCCTGAGCATTGCCCACTCCCAAGAACAGGGCATGTCTTTATTTAAATACATTTAATTATGTCTGGGCTCATGGGAGAGGCCAGCTAGTGAGGGGGTTCTAAACCTCAGGCCTCGTGTGTGTGGTCAAATCTCTCTGAAGTGGTACTGTATTGGGACAGCGCAATATTTTGCTTTGTCTTAATGAATTTTGAAGTTTTTCCAGTCTAAGCATTGCTCAGCTTCATTGATTCATTTCCCTTGTCTGCTCCGAGGAGACATGGGAGCGGACATCTCTGAAACGGGGGCTCCCACTTGCTGGGCTTTCATTGTGTGCGAAGCATTTTACATACATCTTATTTATTCTCAAAACAAAATGGTAAATTAGATCTAAGTATCTCTTGTTTACAAATGAGTAAACTGGGACTCAGAAGGAAGAACTTGCCCGCAGTGAGATAACTAACAAGTACACCGCAGATTGGCTGAGCATGAAGCTGGAGCGCATTAGGTCTCGGTTTGCTCGGGTCATTTCATTGGCTCCAGTGTCTTTTCATGTGAGTGTCTCAAGGGCCGCTCGATTCCGTGATTTGGATTCATTCTTTCACATGAACAAGCAAGACACCGGGTCTGTTTAATCACAGACATCAAACCTTAAGCGACCAAGGGCTTCAGGATCTTGCCTTCTCTGCAGGCATCCTCTTGCAACTACTGTATTCAAACCACTGGCAAACTCACTGTTCCCATAATGTCTCTTTAGTTATGAAAGGGACTTGATGAGCGGAGAGGAGACCTGGGGAGCGGGAACCTCGCATAGCATCTGTCTCTAAATAGCTGAAACGTCCAAGAGAGGGTCCAAACATATATGTCCATGGTTCCAAAGGTCAGAGCCAGGCAGCCTAGACCCGGTAGAACTCCAATTTATCAGAGCTGCCCATCAATTCTGCTGTCAAGCCCGGATTCCTCCGCAGACACCCAACCCCCCTGGGGTTTCTACCAGGATGTGGAGACCTGGTCCTTCGCATTTGCTCCCGCACCCGCAGTCTCAGAGCCGCCGGTTGCGTCTGCAGGACACGCGCGCCACGGTCTCCTGGCAACGGTAGACGCGGAGCCGTGGTAGCAGAGACGGCTCCCAGTCCCAGGGGAGCCCAGCCTAAGCCTGCCTTTGCCATGACCTCCAAACAAACTAAGAAGAAAGAGGTACATCGTATCAACTCGGCGCACAGCTCGGATAAATCTAAAGAGTAAGGGACCGCTGCCGGCCCATCCCGTCCTGTGGCCTTTCCCCTGGTCCAGGGGCTGCTTCCCTGGAGCAAACTCTGCCGGAGCGAGAGTTTACTGGCCTCCTCGCAGCTCCTTTGTCTTCGGTGGGAACTCAGACCCGGGAGAGTCTTGCGCCCATTCCTCCCCCTAGCCCACTCCCACCCACCTCCTTCCCAGAGCCCCTAGTTTCCCTGCTTCGGCGGCTTCCCATCTGCCCCCCCCCCCCCGCCCCCAGCCCTGCTCGCCCCTCCTCTCCTTTGGGTCGCTCCTGCACTCAGAAGGGTTGGGGGGGGGGGGGGGGGGGGGGCGGATCTTTCACTTTAAAAGGTGATTCCCTAGTTTGGATCTGCCCCAGTCCAAGACCTTTAATCAGATGGTGTCAGACATAAAATGGGTTCAAAATGTTAAAACTATGTACATATGTAGTTCCTGTGACTAAAGCTTATTCTAAAAAATTATACAGAGCCTAGCTCATGGAATATATATGCCTCTCTGTCCTGAGGTGTCTGTGTATGTACCTCCTTATTATTTTTTTCCCTTTGTTCTTTTTTTCCTCTAAAAATACGCAGTCACCAGTAGCACAAACTTTGGGCTGTTAACTGGAACGTAAACTTCCTGCCGCTGTGAGAGCGCCAGCTGCCAAGCCTGCCCCCCAGGGGCCACTCACGTTCTCCGGGCTGTGTTTGCCGAGGGCGGGCGAGGCAGGCCGTACGTTCCTTCCAACTGGATTCTCACATCCTGGGTGCCCACTTCTTCATCTCCCTCCTGGCCTAAAAAATCCCACGCTGGACTTCTGTTCTGATTCCCAGTATTTTTCCCTCCACGAACTCCTGTCCCACCTTCATCTCCACATCCACAGTTTCTGATTCTCTTGTTCCTAGTTCTGCCCTCTCTCATAAGCAGGCTTCCACCTACCTGGCAGATAAGCCATTCATTTTATTAACTTAATTTTCAGATGCTATATTACATGCACAGGTGATTTTAACAGTTCCCCTCCTGCATATCAGTGTAAGTGAGGTCATTTCAACATTTGCTAACAGCCTCCATTCTTGCAGGTCCAAGTCTACAAGGCTCTACATACAGAATCAGGCCCCTGTGACTTTTCTGACTGTGCATCCAGTTTGTTCCTTTACCAGCCTCCTCTTCATGGCCTGCAACACCCCACCTGGGGCTTGTGCCTACCTCAGACCTTTGCACTTGCTGATTTCTCTGCTGGAAAGCTCTTCCCCCCGGATTTCTACGAGGTTTTCTCCGTCACTTCCGTTAGGTGTTTTCTCATGTCAGCTTCTTTGGCCAATTGGTTTAAAATTGCAAACCCCACTTTTCTCCTAAAACTAACAAAAGCCCTGTTTTTGTTGCTGCTTTATTTTTCTTCATTCATTTTTGGCTCATTTAACATGCCGTGTATTTCACTTTTTAAAAATTTTGTGTATTTATGTGTCTTCTTAATAGACTGTAAATTCCATGAAGGCAGGGATTTTTCTTTTCTCTTTATAAAGTATTGAATCCTTAGTACCTCCGGGGATTCCTGGGTCATACATAGTAACATAGTAAACACTCAAAATGTTTATTTAGGGATGAATGATAGTGATTAAATAAGAGACTATAACATGATTGCAAAAGAAGTTTTAATACACTAAAAAAACTTAGTTAATAATGTTTATAATTAATGCACATTGAAGGCTTACAACTCTAAAAGAACTTGGGAAAAATCTTTGACTTTATTTAAACAGTTTGTATCTTGAAAGAGATGAGACTGTTAACTTCTATAAGAAATTGATCAAACCAGATACCATATAACATACTCTGTGGCCTAGTCCTGTGATAGTTGATAATATCCCTGCTGGTATGATGCTAACTCTTCCCTTGACTGTACTTTCTATTTCTTTTTGACATGACAATGTTATTTCCAATATGTTTTCTTTTCCAGAACATATCTGTGTTGAATTATGTCAATAAAAATGTATGTGTATGAGTATATTTATAAAAATGCATGAGTAAAGGCAAATAGTTATACAAAACCTAGGCTTGCTAGAAACAATCTACTGATCATTAAACATCAAATCATTAGACTTTGCTGTAGCACTATATGATAGGTTGTCAGATTTATCATAAATAAAGTTTATCCTCTAAGATAAAAGATAAAGTGTCACCCAGCATGGGGCCTAGGGATCAGAGTCTAACGAGGTGCCACTGTAATTGTCATTTTAATATAGTGGGGACAAAGAGACTAAGTTTTTATATGCCGCTTTATAATACCTTGTGGTTATTCATCCTATAAATGCAACTAAGTCTATCCAACATGGTGCTGGATGCACTTCCTGTATGTATATCCCTGGAAATGAAAGAAAAAAGTCTTCATAGCCTTGAAAATGGCCATCCCATAGAATCTTATTCTCCTAGAGATGCCATCTGTAGCCTATAGCTTTTATTCCCTAAAATTATGTGTCAGATTGGGGACAAGGACCATGTCTGGCTTCTGCCTAGCATGGTGGACAGTATATAATAACCGGTCACCATTTATTTGTTAAATGAGTTTACAGTTTAGTTACTCAGATTGGTTTTCATTCCTTCTGAATTTGATTAAGGACTAGTTCTCCCTCCCTTTCTTATCTGATGGCAGAGTTAAAAAAACTGAGATGTTACAACTAAGAAAGCAGAATCATCTATGTTCAGTTGTGACTAAATTTGTAAGTAAATATGACTTTGAATCCCCAAGAAAAATTATGCCAGGTAGCTAAGTTTTCTTTTTTTACATTAGATTATCATATTTCTACTTTACATATTCTCTATTTCTCTGTATCAGGAAGAATAAAATCTCTGTTACAGACTTCACCCTGACATCAATTTTGCGATACTGGACATGTCGTTTTTCTATTTTGACATTCAATTCTTCTCTTCTTTAAGTGGAGGGCTGTCTATTAAAATCACCCCCAATCTAACATGTTCTGTTCTCTCTTCTCTGTGTAATTTTTTTTCTCAAGCTTCTGTGACTTTATCAGGTTTTTTTTTTATCACCACTGCGTCCATAATAAGTGAGAAAATTTTGTCATAGCTGAATACTTAAAACTTTGAACTATATGTTATGGAGAAACACAGATGGTTTAAAAAATCAAAATGATGATTTAGGAGGTATAACTTGAAAATGGTCTGCATGGAATTCATGCTGATTAGGATCAGGTTAGCAGGAAATAGGTGATAATCTGAGATAACAGGGGAATGCCCAGTTCTGGGAACTCTCAATGATAGTGAGGAATATTTTTAAGGCGGGGAGGTGAATGGGTACAGAGCAGATCTATAAGGAGATTGTGGTCAAAGCCTACAAAAGCCAAATTTCTAATCTTCAGTCGAAGTGGCAAAATGTGCTATGATGTCCAAGTGATGATGCCAAGGTGACTGAAAAGACAAAAGACAAAAAAAAGTGTCGATAAAATTTAATTACAGTGTTCTAAATGCCTTGCCTTACATATTTTTGCATTCTCCTTAGGACCTGGCACAAAGTATGTTTAATAATGTGAGTGTAACCTAAAGGAGTTGAACTGGAAACCCAGTGTGGCGGCTCATCCATTAAGCTCTCTGACTCCGAACCAGAGGGACTGAAAGCCAGAGGGAGGAGGCCCTGCCAGTCACCCCCTGAATGCAGGGCAATACTTCGCATGGATTAGGACATTGTATAAATGTCACAACTTTTAAATATAAAAATCTAGCCCCAAAGCCCTGGTAATGAGGATAGTTGTATCCTGTTAGCCCTAGTAGGGCCTACCGTCAGTTCTCTCTTGAAATAATTTTAACCTGAGCATTTGTTTAATAATTCATTAAAAATTGACATAGTTTAAGAGTCATCTCTGGCAGTCAAATCTTTTTTTCTTAATTACCCAGTTTTTTGTTTGCTTAGTTTTAGAGGTAAAATGGTTCCAAATTTACTCTGTAGCATTTTTAGAGTAGTAGAAGTTAGATTGAAAAGATTTAAATTTATAAACTCATAGAATTCGTACTTCATTATTACCTAAAGAGATAATCTAATTTATACTTTGAAACTAATAACAGTGTTGTTAATGCTTCTAGATGAGCAAAGTAATATTGCCTCAATCAACAGTAATTATTTAAAAATATATTGACTTTAATATTTCTTGGACATTTCTAGGTCACAGATTGTTTAAATCAAAAGATTAAATAATCTATAAACTGGTACCGCTTAATGTGAGATAAAATTATTAAAAACTGTATCTAAGATGAATTAAAAATGTATCTTTGATAAGATTTGTATAATTTATATAATGTGAAAGGCTGAATGGAAATAATGGAAATATTACTAATCTTTCTCACTTTCACCCTTGACAAAGAAGATATACATATGTTGTCACAAGAAGTATCCAACAAGGTGTTTTGAAATTTTAATAACATTCCCTCCCAGGGTCGGTCCAGGCTAATTAGTTCTAGGTTCAGGGGTAATAACTGTGCTAATTTGTACAGCTCACTTAACATATGGTACATTCTTAGAGTCAACAAATATTTATATTTTGTATTTTTTGGGTTTTTTTGCTGGTGTCAAAATTCAGTAGTCCAAATATTTTGTAATTATTTTTACCCCATCTTTCTGGCCTGATGGATATCAGAATTACACATATCACTTTAGTTAAACTGCGCAAAAGATCAGTGCGCCCTTTCTGCGCCCATTTCCTCACTCTCCGTCTTCAATCCAGGGTCCATGGCTTCCATCCACAGCTCCCCACGCTCTCAGGGGTCAGGATAAAGTCAGACCTCCCATCTCCTCCTCTTCGCTTTCCCGCTTTCCGCGGCGTTTGTTTCTGAGCAGCGCTGCTGAGGAGGGCGTTCAGGAGGGCTATCTGCTGAATCTGAGGGGAGGAAGTGTATCTAGATTAGTTAACAATTAATGAAAACAGCTGCAGGTCATCAAACCTGGTGCGTACACTGGCAAAAGGAGAGAAAGCAGGAAGAACTGTGAATGTTTTGCCTGCTT